TCCCTCTAATCTAGAACAGCCGCCTCCCCCTCCTCCTCTCGATTTCGCTCCTCCGCCGCCCCCAGACGTGCCCGCGCCTCCTCCGCCGCCGGAGGAAGAACCACCCGCACCGCCGCCGGCGACAAAGAAGAAGAAGCAGGGATGGGGGGCTAAGCGACCTGCACCTGCACCGTTGAGTGTGGAAGAACTGGTGCGGAAGAAGAGGGAGGCTGATGCAGCTGCTGCTAAGGTAAGTACTTTGGTTTGGTTCCCTTATTGATGATCGATCAAGCCAGAAGATACTGACGGATTTGTTTCTTTACTACAGCCGAAATTCCTATCGAAAGCCGAACGTGAAAAGATCGCTCTGGAGAAACGCGCAAAGGAAGTCGAAGCGGATCGACGAACGAAAGAACGAGCGACAAATGGCGCAGGCCGCAACAGGACACCATTCGACGGGCCAAGTCAAGATGGAGGGTCTATTCCCACTGGTCCTCGAGCTATGCGCAGTTCCATCCCGAACAAAGGCTATGACATGTCGCCGCCACCCGCGCCCAAATCGATAACATTCGGGTTGAAAGACTCAAAGGGCGGACCTGCTGATAAACGGCCGGCGGAGGATGAAGAGGCGGTCGCGCAGGCTGCTCTGATCAAGGAAAGGTACATGGGAGCCGATCAAACGTCGAACTTTTCGGCTAAGAAGAAGCGAAAGCGCACGACGGACCGGAAGTTCAACTTTGAGTGGAACGCGGAGGAAGACACCAGCGGCGACTACAACCCGCTCTACCAGCACCGACACGAGGCAAACTTCTTTGGCCGCGGCCGTCTTGCTGGATTCGGGGACGATGTCGCAGACTCAGTGGCGAGGAAGTATGCCCGTGCTCTGGAGGACCGGGATCACGAAGCGGGAGGAATCCGGGCGAAAGAGATCTTGGAAATGGAGCGGCGAAGGAGGGAGGAAAGCACACGTAACCAGCTCGACAAGCACTGGAGCGAGAAGAAACTGGAGCTCATGCGTGAGAGAGACTGGCGTATCTTCAAGGAAGACTTTAACATCAGTACCAAGGGTGGGAGTGTGCCGAACCCCATGCGGTCTTGGGATGAGTCTGGTCTCCCCAATCGGGTAATGGAGCTTGTTAGCCGGGTTGGTTACAATGAGCCCAGTGCTATCCAGCGTGCTGCCATTCCGATTGCCTTGCAAAACCGGGATCTTATTGGTGTTGCCGTGACTGGTTCGGGTAAGACCGCGGCGTTCTTGCTGCCCTTGCTCGTGTACATCTCCGAGCTACCGCGGATCGATGAGTTCGAGTGGAGGAAGAACGATGGTCCTTATGCGATTGTCCTGGCACCCACACGTGAATTGGCGCAGCAAATTGAAATTGAAGCCAAGAAGTTCACGCAACCGCTTGGATTCAATGTCGTCAGTATCGTTGGTGGTCACTCCCTCGAGGAGCAAGCCTACAGTCTACGGGATGGTGCTGAGATTATCATCGCGACACCGGGTCGATTAGTTGACTGTATCGAGCGACGAATGCTCGTTTTGAGTCAATGTTGCTATGTCATTATGGATGAAGCTGACCGAATGATTGACATGGGATTCGAGGAACCTGTAAACAAGATCCTCGACGCCCTTCCCGTATCTAACGAGAAGCCCGACTCCGAGGAAGCAGAGAACCCCAATGTGATGAGCCGACACGTCGCAGGAAAAGACCGCTACCGCCAAACCATGATGTATACAGCCACCATGCCATCAGCCGTGGAACGCATTGCCCGGAAGTACCTCCGCAGACCAGCAATCATCACAATTGGCAGCGTCGGCGAAGCCGTCGACACAGTCGAGCAGCGCGTCGAGATCATTCCTGGCGAAGACAAGCGCAAGAAGCGTCTTGGCGATATCCTCTCCTCTGGCGACTTCCGGCCCCCGATTATCGTCTTCGTCAACATCAAACGTAACTGCGATGCTATCGCACGAGAAATCAAGCACATGGGCTTCTCCTCTGTTACGTTGCACGGAAGCAAGACGCAAGAACAGCGTGAAGCTGCCTTATCCTCTGTACGGAACGGTAGCACGGATGTGCTTGTCGCGACTGATCTCGCGGGTCGTGGTATCGATGTTCCCGACGTCAGTCTGGTCATTAACTTCAACATGGCCAACTCCATCGAAAGCTACACGCATCGTATCGGTCGTACTGGTCGTGCTGGAAAGAGTGGTGTTGCTATTACCTTCTTGGGTAATGAGGATACGGATGTTATGTATGTTTCTCTGTCCCTTTCCCCTTATGACTGCGCGTACAGCAGAACTAACAGTTGGGTCAACAGGTACGACCTCAAGCAAATGCTCATGAAGTCACCCATCTCCCGCGTCCCCGAAGAGCTGCGCAAGCACGAAGCTGCACAGTCGAAGCCGAACCGGATGGGCAGGAAGAACGAAGACGCTGGTGGGAAGTCGGGTTGGTAGATTCGTTTCTTTTTGCCATCCTTTTGCTCTTTCTCCTACACCTTCTTTGGCTGGAGCGAGGTGTTGTACTCGCTGATTATTTTATGCTATATTTTATGACATTGCTCCATTTCTTCAAAAAGCCGTGCATTCAAATTTGGCGTTTAGACAATTAGCTAGTGGATTAATGAACTGCATATTAATATCTGTATCATACGCTGGAATGGTAAGCTCGGTTTGGGTCTATATGTATCTAAATTCTAGACACTGGTTGGATGTAGAAAATCAGCAATAGCAATGCCAGCTGGCTTCGTATTTTGCAAATCAACAATATCTTCAGCTTATGTTTGCTCTAAATTATGGTGACTGCCAGTAATGTTGTCACTGTCATCGCGGAGGGGCTGATGACATACATATATATTTTGCCCGATTTTTGACATCCACCGCCAACCAACTTTCCTTCATCCTATTCCTTCCCTCTACATCCCATTTCCGAATCGACAATGTCGACACTAGTGAACATCACCTCCAAGGAGCAATTCAGCTCTCTCCTGACCTCGTCCGCCATTGTCGTCGCAGACTGTGAGTCTTGGCCTGCTTTCTAGCCCCTCTTCTCCCCGTTGTCCTTCACCCGAACACGAGCTCCCTTGTACTTGTTCCGTCCTCGATACTGATGATTATTCTTGTCTAGTCTACGCGGACTGGTGCGGACCATGCAAAGCTATCGCCCCAGCCTACGAACAGCTGGCTCGACAGCTGACACGCCCGAACCGGATCACCTTTACCAAGATCAACGTTGACCAGCAGCAAGATATTGCCAAGGCATATGGCGTGACTGCGTACGTTACAGAACAAATAAACAAACAAACCAAGAGAGGAAGGCAAATAAAACTGACTGGTGATGGATCTGTAGGATGCCCACATTCATCGTCTTCGAACGAGGCCGTCCCGCATCGACCGTCCGCGGCGCAGACCCCCGCAAACTCAACGAAGTCGTCCAGAAACTCGCCTCCGAAGCCGGCAAAGCAGAATCCTCCGGTGAAGGCGCCTCGGGAGACTCTTCAGTAAGCGGTGGAATCGGCTGGCTGGGCGCCTCCGTCCCCAAGGGCTACAGCGACATCACAGACCAAGTCGAACCCAAGGGTCTGGAGCTACTGAACCGCGACTCTGCATTCGCCCAGCCGCGCACGCTGCTCGATACCTCTAAGCCATCTGCTCTTTCGGGCGGAAAGGCCAAGGAAGGCAGCGCTGCGGACTGGGTGGAGAGTGACACGGATGAGCAGTTGATGCTGTACGTTGCGTTCCAGTCGAGGCTGAAGATTCACTCGCTACATGTTACTTCGCTGCCGCCTGCGGATGGAGATGAGGATGATGATGAGCGTCCTATGCGGCCTAAGACTATCCATATGTATGTGAACCGCTCGCAGGTGCTGGGCTTCGACGAGGCGGAGGATATCCCGCCTGTGCAGACGGTGACGATTAACCCGGAGGATTGGGATAAGAAGACGGGAACGGCTAAGATTGAGCTGCGGTTTGTCAAGTTCCAGAGCGTGAACTCGTTGGTGCTGTTCTTTGCGGATGGCGATGGAGAGAGTGAGAAGCTGCGCGTGGATCGGATTCGGTTTATGGGTGAGGCGGGCGAGAAGAGAGAGATGGGCAAGTTGGAGAAGATTGGTGACGAGGTTGGCGAGTAGGCACGAACTACGACACATAGAGTTACGATCATGACTTGCATAAAATATTAAAATCCATATCATTGTCTATTCGTACTGAGCAAGATCTACAAAAGCTCCTCTCATCCACATAAAAACAAGAGCAAGCTCGTATATATTAAAAAAAAGTAGTGTCCGATCCCAAACCAAATGGCCTCATCCTTGAGAAAATAAGAAAGACCAGTAAAGTAAGGACCAGCGTGCAATTCCAATGCTCTGTGGCGCAACTGACACCTAATTAACATCATCGAAATTCCACAAGGGAAAAGGATGTTTAGGCAACACGGGTGTAAATAATAGTTGCGCCGCCGCACGAGGAAAAGAAAGAAAAAAAAATTCTAAAATGTCGCCCTGCGTGCGAAGAATTTATACAGCCTGTGTGTCGGGGCTCGGGAAAACTGTTGTTGCGAGGGCAGAAGCGACTGGCAAATGGTGCAAATGGTGTAAAGTCAGCAAACAGTGGATGGTGATTATGTCAGCGTATCAGAAAAATTTTTCGTGTCTTTGTTTTTCTCTTTGGGAGGAATTCTCTTTCTTCCATAATTATGGCTTATGATGAGTTGGATGAAATCATATGATAGGAAGAGACTGAATTCTCCCCTTGATCAGGGAGTATGATCTCACAAGAACATCCACTGAGGCCTTTCTTTGTTTTGTTATCTCGTTTCATTTCGTTTATCTTATTTCAAATTGTGTCTTATGTTTGGGTCTTTCTTTGTTCGTCTACGAGGTACAATTTGCCATCGTTGACAGCGTATTCGCGTACTTGTCTTCCGTACGTACGGAGGCAGTGAGACCAGAGTTAATGCTAGCTCGAGGTCGTTGTCTATTGTTTCAGGTGTTAATGGTTATCCGTACCCGGTGCCTCCGTTATGCGTACTATCCACGGAGTGAGTACCTCTTCTGTCAGTCTTCCCAGGGGCACCTACGTACAGTACGGGGAACCGACTACGGCCCGGAGCACAGGGGCCCTATCTACCTACCTACCTACCTGTATACGGCTCTTACACGAGAGACCGCGCACAAGTTAAAGTCAGTAGTATGCCGGCAGTGGCAATGGCAGTGGCCCATGCCCGTGGCTACGGTAATGCCGATACTCCTAGCTAGCGAAGTCAAAAGAGGCCATGTTTTTTTGTCGGGTTCGGGGAGCGTTTCCGGCGTTGATCTCGTTCGTTTGTTTTCGTACCCTTGGTACGTATGGAGTAGTTAGTACGTACGACGGCGTAGTCCGTCCGTAGAGGGCCATTCTGGGGTCAGGATCAGGATCAGGAGCAGGACAAAGGCCAACGAGCCAGAACGAACGAGAACGAACCAAGGCCTTGCCACTGATCATGGCCATGGCCATCAACATGTCCAGCAATTGATCAAAGCGAAATATATTGGAATCTGCCCCAGAAATTATTCGCCGCCGCCGCCGCACGGCACGGCAGGGCAAGAGCAAGCGCATAGATGGATGGACATGGGGTTCGCGGATGCGATCTCCCTGGGCTCTTGGCCCTGGTCTGGTCTGGGTCTGGTCTGGTCTATCTGGCACGGTACGTAGTATCCGGAAGTGCCCCAAGCTTGCGCATAGTGCCGTGGTGCGAGTCAGGTTTTAGCTAGCTTCATTTTTTCCAAATTTCGCCTTCCCCGGCGCGGTGCGGTGGCCAGTGGTGGAATTATATATATATAGAATATTCAAGATTCCGATCCCGATTGCCACGAGCTGGGATATCGTCAGGAACTCAGCACGAGCGAGGTTCCGTTTTCTGCAAGGTTCGGCCGGTAAAGTCAAAAGTCAAACTGAGTTGAATTGAAGAAGTTATGTTGCGGTGGCGATACGTACATACGCGACAATCTGTAATTCCTACTCTGAGTTAGTCTTCGAACGGCTTGTACCGGTTCTTGCAGAAAAAAAAGCAAATGAGGGGAAAAAAACGCAAAAGCCAAAAAAACTTTACCGCGTGGTGATCCTCCATGTTTTCCCAATTCAATACACAACCAAAAAGAGAAGATCTGTATCTGTAGTCGGCCCTGACTTTGACCAGCAGAGGATCCAGGATCCGAAGGTTTGGTGTAAATCTTATTCTCCTCTTATCGTGACTCCCAGTAAACTATTACCACAGAGGAATTCCGGACTCAATGAACAGCTGCACGAAGGATTATCTCTCGTCACGAGGGGAAAGAGTTTAGTTTGGTGCATTCCCGTATCGCCGTATCATATTCGCCGTAGTCGCCGTAGCGCCATAGCGCGTACCTATCCGGGCGAACTGCAGTTTGGGAAGACCCGGGAAATGGGCCCCGGTTTTCGTCGATCACGATAGTCGCGATAGTTCAGGTACTTCGTACTCTTGGTACGCATGATGTTCTGTGCTGTGACTTTTTAGAGCCAAAAAGAAAAAAAAAAAAAAGCGATGCAGTCTCGTGCATAGTCACAATCATGAAAATGGCTCCACCACAGATTTCGATTTCGGAATTGGTCGTGGCGTGATCCGTCTCCATCGCAGCTCATAAATTGTGCAGTGGATAGAGCGCATAACGAGTTGCACTATCATGCCATACTCGTACGGTCGTACGGAGTACTCATACCCGCACAGTATCCATACTTCATACTTCATATCCATCTCTATCTCCATAGCGATACACCGGTAAACTAGCGCAAGGATAAACATCGGATGGCTGCGAGATTCTTCAGCTGGGGAATGGAGAAAACCGACCACAACCACGGATAGTCGATGCAACTTCGGCTAACCACCGATGTGCAAGATCTGGTTGGTTCAAAATCACACATACTCCATAGTAAACATAACAGAAATCAGAAAACGGAGGATAAACTCTTATTGCGATGAACGGTGTTCGGAGACTGAATCATTCCCACTATTCCCGACCATTTGCGAATCAGAGACACATACTGGTTCTGTTTTTGCTTTTTCTCCAATCACGTCGTCGGCTCGGGAGGCGTGATCTGGCGCTGCAAAGGTTAATTGGGAACTCCATATCCATGAGTCGTGTTGGTGTACCAGATTCATGAGCTTTTCCTGGTTGAGAAGGGAAATCGGATCTCCGCACTGGAACCAATCGCACGGTTACCGTGGTACTCGTCATTTGTATAACTTTGGACTTGTAGATTCTTTCCTTTCCACTCAATAGAGCACAATGACTTTGAGCCAGAGTTGAAGACCCGGGGCCGGAGACGGAACCAGTACCAAAAACTGGGACATAGATTTGAGTGTGAGTGTGACTGTATGCAAGATGCTCAAGCTTTATCGGTCAAAGTTTCCAGCACGTTGGCATTGACAGATACGAGGCGAGAGAGAGAGAGAGAGAGAGAGAGAGAGAGAGAGAGAGAGAGAGAGCAGTGCCGATGGTCAATGGTGCAGTAGTGCCGGCGTTGCTTTTTCATACTAGACAGAGTAGACAGAGATAAGAGCTGCATAGTACAGAATCCATACTATGACAGCACGTGCTCCTTCAAGGTACCTAGAGAAACTGCATTCCGTCATAGTGGATGAAAATTACCGCCTAACATCCACAGGAATCATCTCATAATTAAAGACTGGAGTTTCGTAGCGTCATCGTGAGGACCTTTAACATCATTATCATCGTCCCGCGTATGTATTATATGGCCGTATTGGTCTATAATACACTTAAATGATACTATCAGTTACCGTACCGAAAGATTCCCCAAATTGCAGACGGGAGCAGACCCTCATTCCCCAAAAGGTATAGGCCCCGTTATCGTAGCCAATGGGGGAGCTGGACTGTTGGGCCAAGAGGACCTTGGGGGATGCAGGTTGGGTACCGTGGTTACTGTCCGTTACTGTATAAGGGTGGTAAGTAACGGGTACACACGTGTGGGCTATAGATGGCAGCTCGAGTGCCCTTTCATATTGATAATTGATACAGTGATATAAGTATGGTAGAGCGATTTTTAATATGTTGCACCGTTATTCGTCCCTAGGTTCTGGTTGAGTTACACCAGTGTTTTCCGAACTTGCAACGGAACCTTCGACGAATGTTCCCCATCCCAGGGACTCGGTCGTGGTATCTGCAGTTCTGCACTCATAACGAGTCCAGAGCACGTACTATGTAGACGGCGGAATCTACAACATCTTCCGGAGGACTAGTGACTCGGTAGATACCTAGCGCGCAACTAAGTTAAGCTCTGGAAATGGTAAGACGCACTGCATGCTCCGTACATAGTTAGCATTGCAAGTGGGACGTCGGCAAGTCGATTTCAATTTCCGCCGGCAAGGTTACGCTAGTTTGGAGTATGGAGTACATACTCTGGAGTAGGTACTATGTAAGTACAAAAGTGCGAGTATGAGAGTAAACAATGAATTGCACCGGATGCCAGAGAGAGTAAGAGTACTCCGTGGATAATATGAATTAATATGAAGACAATAATAATGTATGTTTCAACTGTCAGGCACGGGCAACCTGGTGGCATGACGGCCGACACCGGCGGGAGAGTCCGTCGCCAGTGCACAAATGTCACGTTATCTGAGTCAGCGGCTTGTGCAAATTATACACGCTAGTTTCTGATCTTCGGCGACTAGTGCCGCCGACGACGCGTAGCCGTTTCAGATTTATGCTATCAGTTGCAGACTGTACGGGTACGGAGTTTTCTGTACAGGTACGGGTACCGATTCTTCAGCTGAATACTCTGTAATTGCTAACTATGCAGAGACATTAACAAACTCAGTATTCCATAATAATCCATACTGAGTAAACTAATGAACCAAGAATTAGAATCCGGGGCAAAGTCTATCGCATCATCTATCTGCCAGTCATTTTGCCACTATCATCAATCATCACCAACCAGCAATCCTCCTGAGTATCATGAGCATCGTTATCAAATAAATTTCCCCATACAAGGCCCTCCGGCTCCATCATCGGAATATTTTGCACATCAGCACCCGTACGGAGGGCTCCATGGCCCACGATATATCCTTGATTCGGGATGGAGACAGACCCGTTGCTCTAATGGACCTTCCTCATCCGGCGTCACCGTTGTCCATTGGCCAATTGCAAACCACCATATGGAGTATTACCCTGGAGTTTTCCGTACGGAGACCTCCGTAAACAGGACAGGAAACTGACTCGGAGGTCGTCCATCTCCACTACTGACGTGAGGATCATACGTTTCAGCAAGTTATTGTTATTATTTAGAGTGCCGATGGGAAAGTCCGTAAAGAGTTCAGACGTTATCGAAAAGTTTCCCGAAAACTAGTCTAGTCGCCGTATTCCAACCGCGAATAATAACCAGGATACGAATCCATCGGGCTCAAGCGACGTTAGAGTAAATTCAAATACTACACTTTACTCTAAGTCTATGTTTCTTTTCTCAATTTCAATAGAATCAACTCTATTCCGACCAAAAATCAAGACTCCTACTCTTTCCAGAATTCCGTTTATTCTGTACAGATAGAACACTCAAGTTTATGGAGTGTGAAGAAATTCGCGCACCCTGATTCGTCGGGGAAGTCTCTCACGAAGCCATTCGCACGGTCTTCTTTAAGAGTCGGTACGACTGTACAGAGTACTATGCAATCTCAGCGTCTCTTGTAAGAAAAAGGCAGATAACGGTCCAGAACACGCTTTGATATCAACTGGGGCCCCATTCGAAAGCAATTCCGGTCGGCCAGCCCTGACTCCCGTCCGCTTTCCGCTTCTCTTTGTACCTGACAGATTAGTATTCGGGCCTGGCAGGCTCGGGGCATGTCGGCCCAAGTCTGTGCAACCGCACCGGTGGCGAGCGATGGTGGCGCATTGACTGCAAGTGGCTTCCCATGAGATTATAGTGTATGCAATAATATGGTCGTCTAAATAACGCAACCGTTTTAACGATGAATGGATTCCTTTCTAATTTACCCCATCGAAGTCGTCTAGAATACTTCGAAAACGTTTTAATTTATTAAAATCCTAGTACGATACTCCATACTCTTAGAGCTGCTACGCCGGCGCCGCCACTAGTGAAATTCTTCTGGGATTCTCGAAGGTTGCTTGACCCTTCCATGCATATATTAATTCCTGTGGACGTATGACTATTAATTCCTAATATGGGAGGCCTCTGGAGCGGGGCTAAGCCGCATTGGAGTGTCGGGGATCAAGTTCCGTTGCAAATGATTATCCACACGGAGTATCGAGCTGAGGAATCCGCTTCCGTGGCTATAATGGGGCTCTTATTATAGAATAACTATTATAGTATGGTTAGTAAGTAGTAGTACTACGGTACGGCGGAAGAAATGATCAGGACTCGGCTTATGATACTGGTACCGAGTAAGTCTGGCTCTTTGTCCCTGGGTCGGGTCGATGGCTGTCAGGCACAAGGTACTAACTATAGGTGGACCAATGACTGCCGAGAGATGTACAGGGGCCCGAACTTTATCAGCCGAGACTGCGTTATTTGTTTCTTTATCGGCGTCCGTAACGCTCAAGTACGAATCGAGTAAACGAGGGCTGCTGATGCTGATGCTGACTGCATCAAGTCAAGTCAAGTTCTGCAAAAGCTGATAGATAGATGCGTGTGTTTGAGGCTGAGGCTGAGGATGAATACATATTTGACATCTCTGACAGTCGCCCTTGCATCGTGACGGTTTGCATGTAAAGTAAAGTGTAGAGTCCAGAGTCCAGAGTCCAGAGTACTTGTTATCGTTATCGATAGCCCCCTCCGGATTGTAACCGTTGAGCCTACTGGTTAGAAAAAGTGATGGATCACAGTAAGCGTTGGCAAAGACAGAGTTCCGTTGGTCGATTACAAGTACCGAAGCAGGGATTGTGACCACC